CAACATTGTAAAACGATTATAAATCAATAAAAAATGTTAAAAAAAATAAATGCTGGAGAGGGTATGGAGAAAAAGGGAACCTTCCTACACTGTTGATGAGGATGTAAATTGGTGCAGACACTATGGAGAACCTCATGGAGGTTTCTTAAAAAACTAAAAGAGTTACCATATTGACCCAGCAATCCCACTTCTGAGCATATATCGAGATAAAACTATAACTCAAAAAGATACACACACGCAAATGTTCATGGCAGCACTATTTACAATAGCCAAGACATGGAAGCAACCTAAATGTCCACTGACAGACGAATGAATAAAGAAGGTGTGGTATACATATATACAAAATGGAGTATTACTCAGCCATAAAAAAGAATGAAATGATGCCATTTGCAACAACATGGATGGACCTAGAGATCACCATATTAAGTGAAGGAAATCAGACAGAGAAAGACAAATATCATATATCTCTTTTATGTGGAATCTAAAAAAAAAAAAAGACACAAACGAACTTATTTAAAAACCAGAAATAGACTCACAGAAATAGAAAACAAATTATGGTTACCAAAGGGGAAAGGGGTGGTGGGGATAAATTAGGAGTTTGGGATTAGCATATACCCACTGTTATGTATAAAATAGATAAAGAACAAGGACCCACTGTATAGTACAGGGAACTATATTCAATATCTTGTAATAACCTATAATGGAAAAGTATCTGAAAAAGAATATATATATATAAATACACACATATATATAAAACTGAATCACTTTGCTGCATACCCGAAACTAACACAACACTGTAAATCAACTATAATTTTAAAAAATAATTAAAAAAAAGAAACTTAAAAAAGAAAACGGATGTTACAATAACATGATCTACATTTTCTGAAAGACTGTTCAGAAATGCTGCCTTATAATGAGTTCAATTTGCCACAAAGCCACTTTATATGGTATATGTGCCACAGAAGAAAAAACACTGTCAGGTGAAAAACATCTCTATGTATGAAGAGAATACAAAATGAGAAATTATATTCTTCATAACAATGAAATATTATGTATTTATGATAATAGTGGTTTGTGATCTTAGATATATAATGTGACCCTAATGTAAGGATATAGTGCCAATAAGGACATGAAGGCTATTTATTAGTAAGGAGTAAACTTGCTTGGATTCATGCACAAAAAGGTACTGATGATATATAACAATGGGAACACTATACAAATATTAAATTACATGAAAATGTACAAAAGGTAATCTGTAGCATCAGAAGCCTAAAAGATACATTAGCAAAAATAAAAGATACATATTTCATCTAATTTTTAATGCTGTCAGAGAATCTCCAGGACTGAATAAACATTGGAGAAATTCACCTGAGGTAGAGATGAAAATACCAAAACAGAAATTCATACTTCTGTGTATGGAGCAATGGCGGTAATATAAGAAAAAAACACCTACCTGCCATTCAAATTCACTATCTGACCAATCCCAGTATGTGCTAATAGAAGAAGATACATCACTGCAGACACTCCCCTCAGGGAATAGATCAAAGGACGTGAAATCTTGATCATCTAATAGGGAATAGCAATCATCTTGATCTCCAACAGAAACTGACGAAAACAGCTCCTCACTACATTCTGAGCTGGCAACACTTGTTCCACAGGATGTTAAGTTCCATCTAAAAACACAACACAAAAGAAATCACAACAGAAACTACAGAATCCATACAAGTTTAAGATATAGGATACATTTATGAGGAATGTGAGTGTATTTTTAGTTATAAGAATGATATTATGCTTGTTTTGAAAAGAGTCCTTAGCTTTTAAGGATAAACACTAAAATATTTATGAATGAAATATGTTTGGGATTTGTCTCAAAATAATAAGGAAGAGGTTGAGGAATGAGCAGGAGTATAGATAAAGCATACTGCCATATGTAATTGTTGAAGCTGCATGATGGGTATATGGGGTTCATTACACTATTCTCTGCTTTCATATCTGTCTGACTAGAGTCAGACTGAGTTCAAATTCTTGCTCTGACACTTGCCTGCTGTTTGATCTTAAGCAAAACACGCCCTTTCTCCAAGCCTGTGCCCTCATCTTCAAAATGCAGTTACTGTGAACATTACATGAGAACCCATACAGAGCACTCAGCGGACATAAGTGTTCAATACATGGCAGCTATTATTATTATTAAAGGAAGAGGGTAGCCATTGAAGGGCAGAGAAAAGCACCAACAAAGTATACAAGTAGCTCAAAGTATTTCCTATATTTACATAACTTTTACACATTGATGATATACAGAATCATTGTAAAGATGTTGAAAGAAGAAAGGAGTGATGAAGATTAAAATGACCAATAATTCCATTATGCAGTAATAACTGACCTATAATATTTTGCTACATTTTCTACATGCATATATATTTTTTTTATGGAATCAACATTCTGTGTGTGTGTGTGTATATATATATATACACACGAAATATATATATTTTAGTAGCCACCTTTTATTCACTTAACACTATATACTGACCATTTTCCTAAGTGTATTATTAAACATTTTAATGCCTATATAATATTCAATTGATTAAATGTCTCATAATTTAACATTATTCCTTTAATAATAGATAATTAGGCTGTTTCCAATTTTTTGGTATTACAAATTATACCGAAATACACCTTTTTGTTTATAATTATTTATCCAAATATATAATCTCTCAGGATAGATTACTTGAAAGGAAATTATTGAGTCAAAGAATATGAACACTTCTAAGAGTAACAGTATACTTAGCTAAATACCTTTCTGAAAGGCTACACCAATTTATACTCCCAAAATCAGTATATAAAATTGCTCATTTCACCATAACCTTAATAGCACTGTAATTTTCATGTTAAAATTACACATCTAATAGGAGAAAAACATTTTATATCAATTTTATTTCTTTGCAAGATAAAAATTTAAGATATTTATTAGCTATTTTGCTCTACCAATTTACTGTGTGTTAATATTTTTCCTTGTTTAATTTGTAAGAGTTCTTTATGTATCAAGGATATTAACATTTTGTCTGTATTATTTCTTGTAGGGTCATATTTTTTTTTTGGTCTTAAAATCTACAAATGTTTTCTTTTATAAATTTCCATTAGCTTTATATTATTAATGAGATAAATCTTCACTGCTTTGGCAGTAGCCTAAGGAATTAATCCTTAAGATAATGATTTAGTATATCCGATACTAATAAGGTACTGAAATAATGACTTCCTAAAGAAAAGCCTGTTACTTACCTATTATTAGGTTATTTCTCATCTTTCACTAAATCCAGTTTTTTCTTGAATTGTGTATTTCCCCTTTAAAACTTCCCCTCTTTTTTATATACCCAATCTTAATTCCAAAGTTCTTGATCTACAAAATTTGTGCAGCCTGACAATTTTACAGCACCTTTTCCTTTCTGCTAAAGGTAGAGTATTTTAAAACACTGAAACACACACATAGACACACACACTTTAAACTATTATAGTGCAGTAGATAGAAAAGCCTTTTATATCACCAAACTTTTATAAATAGGCAAAAATCTAAAATTCATCTAAGAATCCTACAATATCTTGTAGCATTACCTAGTTTCATCACATGCTTGCTAGGTAGGCAGTATCCTCATTTTTTAAAAATCAACAAACCTAGTAGAATTAACCATACTGCCCAAGTCATGCAATAAGGCAATACAAACTGTGAATGGCAATTAGAAGTTCTGTCCTTTCACCCACTCAACAAACATTTAGTCAGTATCTTCAAAGTGCCAAGTACTGTGTCATGTGCTAGGAAAAGCTGTTACATAATTGTTTTTAACGAGAATTTCTTTTTAACTTGCAAAAGTTTAGTAGAAATGTGTTTCCCTTCATGAGTAATAATGACTTTTTTTAAAAAAAATGCCACATTTAATAATCTAATGATTAGATCACTGACAAGAGAGTCAGGAATTTGCTTGGTTCTGTGCTCTTACCTTAGGGCAAATTCAGTATGTTCCTCAGTTTCCCATATCTGTAACTATAATATATATAACAAGGTTATGTGTATTCTTAGACGCCTTTGCTCTTTGTTTTCTTTTTTCTAAAAATTAACAGTGGTAAGGAAATTGGTCTCATACTTGAAACAAATCTTTTACAAAATAGAAAAATAGTACTTTTAGAGATTTTTTAGAAATTCTATTATCTTCTAATTTTCAAATATTATGTTTATTATTATTTTAAGACAATGTGGATAAAAACAAAGTAGGAAGTACTTTCATCCACTGCTGGTGGATGAATAGAATACATACATATATATATATATATATATATATATATATATATATATATATATATAT